GTGCAGATGGCGTCCATCATGGAGTCAGAGGAGCACCTGATGAGGGCAGGAGGCATGCATAGGGTCCATCAGTGAATGAGAAAGTACCTCAAAACTTATTATTTATATCTGTAACCTAATCCAGACACTAAGACTCACATATAACACAGACTGATTTATTTAGAGTTTTAATTTCTGTTCATTATGATAAAAAGCACAAGGTGGCAGCTTGCTGGAGCTCATCTTTATTATTTTGAGCCTTTTTCTTCCTCTTGTGTCATCGTTTCCTGGAGGTTCAGTTTGTTCCTTCTGGTGTTTCGTCCCATGAAGCTGGAAGACTTTAGACGTTAATTCTGGTTTAAACATCGCTCTGTTATCTGTTGAATGCAGCAGCACACAGATGTCTACGTTTTCCTGAAAAGGTCCAACTATTCTGCCTTCATCAGTTGTGGCCCATAAATCTGTCTCCATTTCCTCCTCTGTCAGGAGGAATGGGACAAAATTCCAGCAAAATCACGTGAGAAGCTTTTTTTATCCTTTAAGAATCGTTTTCAATAAATTCAGCTGCTGTATGGAAGACCAGCTTATTTAGCAATGACCTTTAGGGCTTCTTCTCCTTCTGCTTCTGGACAACGCTGCAATAACCTGCAATAACCTCAGGACTGTCTGTCTTATAATGTTTTCCAAACACCACATCTGTTTTTGGTGAAGTATGTTTATTATTTAAATATTGAAAGAAGCATAATTTTATTTTTTTATTTATTTGTTGTTGTTTTTATACAGAAACCCCAGATCAACACTGTTCTAACTTCCACTGAATCAACCACCTCTCCTTCCTCTGTAAAACCATTGGATCTATCTGTGTGGGAGTCTGGCTGCTATCCATATATATGTGGATCTGTGCAACGAGAGCAAAGTGGAACCAAAGTCAAATTCCTTGTTCTGCCACAAATTGGACCAATAAAGCTGATTCTGAAAACAATAGACCACCAGTGGGCAGTCTACTGTTCCTCATCCCGCCCTAAAAATACCAAAAGTTGACCTACTGACCTGCCGTTGCCTTGACAACGCTCCAGAGGTCCACAGGTGGAGTTCTGCAGGACGGCTTTGTCAGAGCAGATGAAACTGACACAGGTTTCAGGATCAGAGCTGACCACATCACCTGGTTTATAGAAAAGACATGAGTATAAAGGAAGATTTTCTGAGCTGAAAACTCAGACATTTATGAATAATTCATTTTGTCCAAAAACAAAAAGAATATATAAAATTTGACTATTTGATTTTAGCCACAGAATCAGGAGGTTTATGCTTGAATGGAGAGATTCACAGACCTGAGTGTCTGCAGCCGGTCAGGTCTGCATACTCAAGTGTCCTAACTGAAGTCGCATTAATAGACTTGACTTTGATTCCATCCACCAGAATATCAACCAGCTACAAAACAACAAAGAGTCAGAACCACAGGTCTGAAACATAGATGAAGCAACATGGAAACAAACATGTCCTGATAAGAGAAAATCAGCAGGAGGAAAGTTTGTTAAAGAATCATCATTCAGTTAGAGAAGATCCTTTATTCAGACTTTGATCACTGTTCCTTACCGATGAAATCTGAGGGTAATATATTTGGACAGTTTCTGACCCAAAGCTGATTATGCCATAAATTCCCTGTAAGAAGAACAATGTAAGCATGTTTTACCCTTTATAAAAAAACATCACAAAATACTTTAAATTGCATCAAATAAAAATATTACAGAAGCTTCGGCGGTAAGTGGTGATTTTTTAACCTAACATAAACATTTAGTTTTTAACTTTTTTCTTTGAAAGTTTAATAATAAAAAAGTAGATTGACTTAATGTTGAAGAACTTACAGATGGAGAGAATATGGCAACATAGCATTCCATGGTGGTGTTTATGGCTGGCACATTCTGATGAATGGCAGATTCTAGATTTTTATCCCTTCCTCCAAAATCAAACCGTGCCTCCTCCACTTTTGGTCCCACCAAACAGTTGCCTTTGGTCTGAGGGTCGTAGAATCCGTCGAAACAGCTCACTAAGTTTTCACTCGTAAAGTTCACCTGGAAGAGTCAGAACCAGAAAATAAAGACTAGAATCAACATTTCTAGGACAAGCAAGTCATCTGTAAACCTGGATGAAAAACATGTTTGAGAGTAAAACATGTTTAAGAGTAAAACACTGTTGAAGGTCCCAGAAAAAAATAATCAATACACATTTTTCTGTTTAACTTTCAGACTGAAAAAT